TAAGGTGCTTAGACGATGTGTACCAGAAGAGGAACAAGCCGCTGTCCTCACATTCTGTCACGCATTCCATTGTGGAGGCCACTTTGGCGGTCAGAAAACCGCCTTTAAGGTTTTACAGTCAGGTTTGTTCTGGCCATCACTTTTTAAAGACGCCCATACTTTTTGCCGTTCTTGTGATCGATGCCAAAGAACTGGGAATATAGGTCGCAGAAATGAGATGCCCTTAACTAATAACCTTCAAGTCGAAATTTTCGATGTTTGGGGCATTGATTTTATGGGACCATTTCCCAATTCTAATGGTTACGAATACATTTTACTTGCTGTAGATTACGTGTCTAAGTGGGTTGAGGCTATCCCCACAAGGACATGTGATGCTAATATCGTGATCAAGTTTGTGCAAGGGTATATATTTAGTAGGTTTGGGTTCCCAAGAGCGATCGTGAGTGATGGCGGGAAGCACTTTTGCAACAAGCTTTTTGAGAAGCTGATGAAGAAGTATTGCATAACGCACAAAGTGGCTACTCCCTATCACCCACAAACCTCGGGCCAGGCTGAGACCAGTAATAAGCAGATCAAGACCATCTTGGAAAAGACGGTCAACTCATCAAGGAAGGATTGGTCGAGTCGGCTCGACGATGCATTGTGGGCCCAACGCACAGCGTACAAAGGCGTCTTGGGCATGAGTCCGTTCCGATTAGTTTATGGAAAAGCTTGCCATCTACCTGTTGAGATAGAACATAAGGCCTTGTGGGCAATCAAGAAGACGAATTTCGATCTGGATGCGGCTGGAAAAGCTCGATTGTTGCAGCTCTCGGAGTTGGAGGAAAGGAGGAACGAGGCATACGAAAATGCCAAGATTCACAAGGATATGGTGAAGCGACTACACGATGCTCACATAGTTTGTCGGGAGCTGGTACCGGGCATGAAAGTCCTTCTCTACAATTCTCGCCTACGTCTTTTTCCTGGAAAACTTAGATCCCGGTGGAGTGGCCCGTACATTATCGATGAAGTGCTGTCTTTTGGTGCTGTTAGACTCCGAAATCCAGCCAATGAGGAGTTATTTACGGTTAACGGGCAGCGAGTCAAGCCTTATTTCGAGGGAGAGTTCGGGAAGTATCATGTCGAGACCATCGGTCTCGGCGAACCAGCGTATCCTTGATCTAGCTGAGCTTTATTTGTACTTTGTGTATATATATATATCTATACATATATTTATTCCTTTCTTTTTATTTTC